GGCTTTTTCAAAGGTGTTCTTTTGTTCTACTTTTTTTTTTTTTTTTTTTGGTTTTTCTCCTGTACCGGGAACCGAACTCACGACCTTGCGCTTGCCAGGCAGGCGCTTTTGCCGCTGAGCTAAATCCCCAGCCCCTTAGGGGCTCTTTAATGCAAGCCCAGGTCAAAGGTACAGGCAATCCCGAGCTTGTGACATTCTGGGTTGTTTACTTTCTGATCTAGTGCGAGCGTGTAGAACTACTCAGGGCACTGCTGAACGGTGCAGAAGAGCCTTAGGTTGTGACCCGTGTAACGGCAGACCCTAGTTTACAGTGCTAGGGGTTGTAATAAAATGATTGTGGTGTGCGAAAGGGGTTAGACTCCAGAATGTACATCTCAGCAGTGTTATTACAGGGGGGAAATGGGAAGCACATTAATTATTTAAAAATGAGAAAATGGTTAAGTGTATTGTCTACATCCATGTGAGAAATTCAGGTTAGTCAAAATCATGCTGTGAACGATTTATTATGATACAGGGGAATTTTCATGAGCACAAAGTATGCATGGAGACAATGCATTTTGTCCACACTAAAAATATATCCACTAAGATGTGACCACAATGGCATCTGATGGGACAGCAGCCAACAGCGTCAGGGTGTTTGTTTAGCTCAGACCCTGGAACCACACTGCCTTGATTCTGGCTCTATTGATGGCCTGGGTGCCTGGCGTAAGTATCCTCATCCCAAGAACAGCCCTAATATTAGTTTCCTTAACTGCAAAACTGCAAAAGGAGCAGGGTATGGTGGCCCACGCCTGTAATCCCAGCACTCGGGAAGCTGAGGCAGGAGGATCTTTGCAAGTTCGAGACCAGCCTGGGCTACAAAGTGAGCTCAAGGCCAGACTAAACTGCATAGTGAGACCTTGTCTCAAAAAGACCAAAAAATGCTGGGAATATCGCTCAGTGGAATCGCGCCTGCCTGGCAAGCAGGAGGTCACGAGTTCAATTCCCGGTAGAAAAAAAAAAAAAAGACACAAACTGGAAAAGGATCCTAGGCACCCCAGCCAGTTGTTATAATCACAAAAGGTGTTAATACTTGTAAGCTCTTGGTACAGTGCCAGGCACATAACTGAACGCTACATATATGACTTTTAAACATCTTTGTGTGATAGAATTACAGATTTTTTTCTCCAATAAATACGTATTGCTTTTGTAGCTGGTGTTTTATTATTATTATTATTTTGGTACTGGGAATCAAACTCAGGACCTTACACTTGCCAGTCAGGCCCTGTGCCACTGAGCTATATCCCCAGCCCTGTAGCTAGTGTTTTAAAAAGTAAATAAAAATCTAAAAGGTAATTGCTCTAAAAATTGAGGGAAAAAATGTTCAAATGTGGTGGAATATGAAAGAAAATTCTAAAACAGTGACAAAAAACTAGTTCTATCAACTAATAAAATCTACAATGGTTTGAATTGTTTTTTTATTTTTTACTCATTTTGATAGTTTGAACTGTAACTAAAGGGAGACTTACAAATATGATACTTTGGTCAAAATAATTTCATTATTATTATTTTTTTGGTACCAGGAGTCAAACTCATGACCTCACCCTTGCCAGGCAGGCACTGTACCATTAAGCTATATCCCTGGCCCTCTGGTCAAAATAATTCCAAGGAGACATCATATAGGAGACATCATAATATAAGAGATGATATAGGAGACATCATAATTTGACAGTTGAAAGGAATTAGGTAAATACTGTTAAGATAATTCATTAGCAATTTGAAAATAAGCAGCTGTTATTTCGCTCCATACCTTCTCATACATTAAAGGGCTAGTGGAATAAAGAATTAAGTATAAAACTCAATTATTAACAAAAGAAAATGAAATTGGGTATCTGAAAAAAGTATTAATATCTTAGAGGCAATAAAAACACATAAGTCAACAGCTGTATCTATATTCAGATTTTAATTTTGTAAAAAAATTTTAATGGAATATGTAATACAACGCATTGTTAATTCCCTACCACTTTGTAACTCCGTATTGCCTGTACTGTTCTTTTGCTATTTTGTAAAATGTTATGTCAATGTTTTCCTCCTTTTATTTTTAAAATAAAATAAAACATAAAAAAAAATTTTAATGGAAAAAAGTAGTTGTTAAAATATGGCATATGGTCATATTTAAAAGATAAATAACTGATAAACCAAAAAAATAAGACCCCCAGTAGATAAACATGCAGAAGAGTAACAAAAAAAGAAATAGAAGCAGAAAACTAAAAATAGTTTAGTCATTCTAAATTGGGGGAAAGCAAATTAAAATATATTGAAGTATTACTTTCACCTTATCAAATATAATTTTTAAAAGTTTTTATATCTAATTCTGGCAAAAGTGGCATGAAAGTGATTCTCTCCTACATTGATATTACAACTTAGAACAACCCTTTGGGGAAGCTATTTGGCAATACAACAGGAATGGTTTTTAATTTTTAGTTTTATTTTTTGGGGTTTTTTTTTTTTTGGTTCTTTTTCTGGTACCGGGGATCAAACTCATGACCTTGTGCTTGCCGGGCAGGCGCTGTGCCGCTGAGCTAAATCCCCAGCCCCTTAATTTTTAGTTTTATTAGTACATGTTTGCAGTTCATGCAGCTTATAATCATCTTGGGGAGTGGTGACATGTGCATAATTCAACAAGAACTTTACAAAAGGATTTCCAGATTTCAGTAATCTGAGTCCTGTGAATCTGTTCCTAAATAACGGAAAAATACGTGTGGTTGGGGAAAAGCAGGTTGAAGGGACCGTGTGGCATTCTCAGCACTTTTTTAAACAATTATATCAATTTAAATGTCCACATACTGGACTACGGTAGAACTATTCAACAGTAATCAGCCTTAAAATGATGGATAATAGGAAACAGGGAGGTAGGGAAGGGGATCAAGAGAGAAAGAGAAGGGACAGAGGATGAAACGGGACGAAGATGTGCTCTGTACATGCAACTCCACACCAGGAATGTGAACACTATGTACTGCAAACAGGTACTAATAAAAATGAAAGAAAAACAAAGTTCAAAGATCATAAGCAGAGCCAGGCATGGTGGCGCACACCTGTAATCCCAGCACTTGAGAGGCTGAGGCAGGAGGATTGTTTTGAGTTCGAGACCAGCCTGGGCTACAATATGAGCTCAAGGCCAGTCTGAACCATATAGGGAGATTTGAGTCCCGGTTCTGCCCCTGGGCAGGTTGCTTAACCTCTGAGCACCTTTTTCTCCCAGAGGGAATGCTTAGCACCTGACAAGCACCCTGTCTCTGTGAAGGAATTCTTTCATGAAGATGTACTCATTCATAAAAAGTTCTCAGGCTGGGCGTGGTGGCACATGCC